CCAAATATCTCACTACATCAGCCGAGACTGTAGAACGTGTGTTAGACAACTTACGAACGTGCGAGGGTGAAGAAGTGAAATGCTAGCGCATGATGTGACAGATTCTATAAGAACCGCTTGTAAGTGTAGAGTGGTGACACCTTGTCAGGACGAAAACTTCACGAGGTGGTGACCGTAGCACCAGCTGGTGTCTTCTGCTGGCTCGATGCTTTGATTTATCGAACTTTTAGGGCGCATTATTGATTGATTGTAGGAGTGATTTGTGTTTAAAGGGAGGGAATTAGATACCTATCAGGGTAGTTGCTTTGCTATTTTTTTTTTAATAGATCAACTTGGATAATGTGCTGCAGAAGTGACCTATTTAAGGAGTTCGATGAAAATTTTATCAGCTTTAACTTATCTTCTTTTTTTTTTTAAATGTTGTTCAACAATTTTTAATAAATTAAAAAATTCGCAAATTTATGAAAGCAGTTTTTAAATGTCCGATAAAAATGTATACGGCAATGATCCAACATATCACTAATTTAGATGATGATGACAGTAAAAATACAACTCACAACTGAACCTGAGTGAGGGGTTCAACTTTTCTTGTTGCTTAATTACACTCATATTTTGCTATTTATATTCATATCTGAATTTTGAAATCTATTATTGGATACTATATAATATAAATCATACTCAATGGCAATAATGAGGTGTGAGCGCAATGTGAGTAAACGTTGGTGTTCTCAACTATGTATACATATAAATAACATATTACCTAAGCAAAAGTTTGAACTTTAAAATAACACTAAATATGTCACACTTGATATATATTTATATTGCAAGAGTTTGGTAGGCTTTTAGAATTATCAAATATCAAATATATCAAATATATACAATACTGTACTATATTTCCTAACCATTAAAAAGTAGATCTTAAAAAACAAAAACAAAAAAAACTGAATCTGAGCCTAAGTGTCGCCACAATGTCTTCGTCAAAACCATACAATAAAATATATGCAAAATACATACACAATCATACACAAGCATACACAAGCAAGGACTACCTTTGAATGAAAATAAAAAGTTATCCGTATATAGTATTAGAAACTTATGCGGCATGGTGAACATTATTAGAGAGTTTGATTCTTTGAACACGACACAAAAATATGATATTTTGTTAAACTTCACTGACGTCAAATTCTGGTTTTGGAGTGAGTCAACAAAGAAAGTGACGTCACTAGAACTCGTAATTAGTTTTTAAAAAAAGTCACTTGTGTGAATTAAGTTCCAATATTTATCCATAAATTCAATAAATTTCACTGATTACTTCTGGATTAAACACCACCACAAACATAATCTTAAACAATGACATTTGACAAACAATTAATCTCCTCTTGGAAAGAAAAAAAAAAACTCAGCAGATGCTGTCTTTACCAAAACACTACAATAGTTTCTCTCGTTGATTGGTTACGTGTTTGGACTAATTCAAGTTAATTTACACAGCAAAACTTTAATGTTCAGTATGTTTTCTTCATTTTCACAGATTGAAATAAAAAAAAATCTAATCCCTATTTTAATTGATCATTAATTAATTCATAAAATTCAATTAAAATTTCACAAAAGATTGTTAAAATTTCCGTCTATAACCAAATATGTGAAGCTCCGTGTGCTAACAAAACAAATATTTCCAGCTTTGTTTTATAGTTGATAGAAAAGGGACATTTTCAAATTTTCAGCTTTGTTTGAATTTGTTTGATTGAAAAGATTTTCCGCTTTATTTTAAAATTAATTGAAATTTTGTTTAACTAAAATGCATTAGAGTTCAACAATGACAACCATCACTTTTTCTTAGTTCCATAATAATTTTGCAGCGTGTAATGAACCTGAAAGACGCTTCAAAAAAACTTGTTTCAATTTTTGGAAGAAAGATATTGTTAAATATTTAAACTGGAATTTGAAAGATAAAATATTGTGTTTTGTTTTGTAGTTTTCTGTGTAGGAATAATATAAAAAAAAAATATTTGGTGTAAAACAAAACATTCATTGATGGTCTAATGATAGATCAGGCAATCTGCCTGGGACGGAGTGGTCTAGCGCTAGAGAGCTGGACTGCTAACCCGTAAGTCTTGAGTTCGAATCCGGGTTCAAGTCAGTAGACCGTCCACCCAACTCTGATGGGTACCTAACTCACGTTAGGGAAAGTAAAGGCGGCTCAGCATAGTGCTGACCACACTATCTCTTCATATGCTGAGGTCACAGAAACAAGTGAACTCTACTTCACTTGCCCCATAGACCGTCAGGTTTGAAAGGGAAACTACTTTACTTTTAATCTGCCATCACATCTTTACAGAAAATAAATATAAAGCTACAAAAAAGGACTAAGACTAGAACTATAAGGCTAGGAAACATGATAAACAGAGCTAGAAAACATGATAGACAGACAAGAAGTATAAGGTCAGGAAACAGTATAACCAAACAAGAAGTATAAGGAAACAGTATAACCAAACAAGAAGTATAAGGTTAGGAAACAGTGTAACCAAACAAAAATCATAAGGTTAGAAAACAGTACGAAGTGCTAAAAAAAATCTGCTGAACTGGATTTGCACTAGAAAGCCGCCCAGGAGAGAGCACTCAAATTTTTCACGTGAGTCATGAATGATTAATGCCCCAGTCCATCAAACCTATAGAAACTGTTATGAAGGGTGGTAACAGCCTCCTTACCACGAGAGACCGATGGGAATGGGGGAGGGGAGGGAGAGTGGAGAGAGTAGATGTAACAATAAAGTAAATGGTTAGACAGGAAATGGCTGTACTTAACGTACAGCTTACAGCTTCACAACATTATCCTTTAAGAAATCGAATTCAACATGTTTTAAAAGATTCTTTTCCCTTTGATGTTGAGATAAACGTGTACTGCATGCAAGGGCGTAGCAAACCATTCCGGAGCCCGGGTCGGACTATTAAGTCCCCCCCCCTCTCATTTATATATAGTTATTCACGTTTGGTAAAATGCCCCCCTCCACCCCCTTTACAGTTTACTAGTTACTATCCCTTGACTGATTTTATTGCGATGTCACCAAATTGATGTAGAATACAGTGAAAACAGTCAAGAAAGCAAAGCAGTAGCCTCTATGTTTGTAATACAATCCAGTAAAGGAGATTTTTAAATTATTTTTTTACCCCGTTTATCGGATCTCCCCCTTCAACCCTCACTCCCCCCCCCCCCCCCTCGCCGCCAAGGTCGTCCACCACACCCGCCCTTTCCTAGATATGTGTCTTTATGATGAAGCGTATAAACAAAGCGTGGTATAAAGCCTTAACTAAGAAAATAACTAAATATAATAATAAGCAATATAAAAACTACTATATATCCCTTTTCACCCCCCCCCCTCCTCCTCATTTTGACTATTGTTTTCATTTTAAAAAAATTAAATTATTCTATTAAAAATTTAGAACAACGAAAGCTTTTGACACTTAATAGTTGTTTCGTTTATTTTCCCATCAAGGCGAGGATAACAAACAAAAATAGAAGCTGTAACCTTTGTGACCACGTTCACCCGAAAAGGCTGATGGTGTTTTTAAAAAACAAAACAAGAACGAGAACTCTCAGTGAACTATTTCAATCCTAACCGCAGGCTATAGTAGACTTGTAAAGTAGCCTCCCTTTTTTGCACTGTTAGTTAAGGCCGAATGACTAATCCACGAAATCAGTTATTTAGTAGGTTAGCCGCAGGGGTTAATCTAAGGCTGGTGAAGTGGATGGGGTTCCAGGAATGGGTGGTAACGTTAAATAAAAATAATTAAAAAATCTATGAAAAATATAGGGAATTAAATGTTTAAAAAAGGTAATAGTTTTGACTTTATGGATTTATAACCTATCTAAAATGTTAAGTAGGAGGGCTTAAAGAATTAATGGTTTAAAACTTAATGAGCCATCAATCAGAAAATGTGAAGTTGAAAAAAAAAATAATGAGCTAGCATAATCAGGATGTGAGTTTTTAAAGTCACTATGTCCATGGGCGTATTCATAATCATCCCCACTCCCATTCAAACGAAAAAAAAATGACGTCACCCCCCCCCCCCTCCCTACGGCTAATCGATGGACATCATTAAATAGATGACCCATCACTCCAGTGCTTCCCCTTACCCTACGCGATGTACCCCAGCGCTCAATTCCTTTAGGCTAATCACAGCAAGGCACAGTGTATTTTTTTTTACAATAATTGACGTGAATTATAGGATACTCTACCGTTTCACAAAGGCCTGTCATATTTTAAAATTATGACTAGAATTTACATTTTTTTTTTCATTTTTCTTTTCTTTTTTTATACACTGCCTAATTCAGACAACTGTAGTAGCAAAGCAATACTAAACAATAACAAAAAGTGTAATCGATTACATAAAAATAAAACAACTATATAGCGTGTAGACATAAACTAACTTTCACCAGCTGGGATTTTCCCATACTAGCAATAACTAGCATGAAAAACTTATAAAAAGTTCAACGTTGTTTTTTTTTTATATTATGGTCTCGTACAAGATATGATGGTGTTTAAATCAATGGGAAAGGAATAGTTAAAGATGTTGCTTTACGACAGGCTCACGAATAAGTGGAGGTTAATAGCAGAAACTTTTAAACACCAGAAAAAAATTACTTGAGTACACGTAAGAGGTAGCTTCAACTCATACAAAAATCCCAATTTAAAAAATAAAATTATGGTTCAGTATAATTATTTAAAAAAACGATATATAATAATAAAAACAATACAATACACAGACATATACTATACATACACTATACACATACAATACTAGACAATATGACGTGTACATGTATTAACTTAAGTATATATTTGCCAATAAATAAAAGGATATATACATATAGATCTATAGACTGTGTAATATTGATACTATGGTGTGTGGAGATATCAAGACAGTGACTTGAGGTATGACAATATGAGATAATGTATGGGTCTGTTTCTATCGAGATCCGACCGCTAGACTAAGCAACTCACCCCCTTCTTTAGCCATAGCCTGCATCATGCCGACCTTGTCGTACAGGCTGAACTGTCCGTACCCCATGCTCACCTGGGGGTAGTTGGTGTAGGAGGGCTGGCCCGCTAGCACTGTCATACCTGAAAATTGTTGGATCCATTTTTATAAGTGCCAGAATTGTAGTTGTGTTAAACTAGATTGTGTACGTGTGCAAATTGTTTGATACATCTTTAGTGGTGTTAAAATAGTAGTTGTATATAACCACATTGTATAAGTGAGCAAATTATTGGATCCATCTTTATAAGTGCCAGAATAGTATTGTATTGAATGTATACGTGTGCAAATTATTGGATCCATCTTTAGTAGTTAAAATGGTACTTGTATTAGAGCACATTGTGTACGTGTGTGTTTATCGTAGGTTTAAGTATGCTGTAGTGTACATATATATATATACGTGTATGTATTGTACATTGACGTGTGTATTGGGCATGTGCTCTTGTTTCCAAATTTTTTACTGTGCCCCTATTATAGCATAATATTATTTTTTCCCAGACGATTCATTACATTTATTTGTATATTCCATCATTGTGTCTGTTTGCCCTCCTCGAAACTGATATTTCTACCTAGACAGACAAATCAAGCAGTTGACAGACAAAATCTTATCAGACATACATATAGATAAAATGTTGATAAAGACTGACAGACCAATAAAAGAACGACCTAAGAGAGGAATAAATGTGGACATTTTATATATGTTCTGTTGGTTAGCAGAGAGGATGATGGTTGTTGCAGAAGGAGGTAATCAGTGAACTAATTAATTAAAGACAGGATGCTTAAAATACAAATAGGCTGCGTGGATTATAGGATTATAGGAATATCAGTTTTACTGACAACTTCAGAAAAAAACATCACAAAAGAAATATGCCAGTATGCTCCAACAAACCAGAGACAAATAATTCAATAGGGAGAAAAAAACAGACAGACATCATACACCATAAAGACAAAGCAACCAACAGACAGAAGATAGAAACTAATAGACGAACAAACCAGCCAACAGACAGAAAACACACATCATTAGACAGATAAACAGAAATGTAAGACAAACAAAACACTACATACATACATCACATACTAATAGACTTACAAATCAAAATCCAGAAACAAAAAGTACCACAAGGACAATAGACACAAAAGACAGACAGACAAACCAACAAAAAAGCAGACAGACAAACCAATCAACAGACAGACAGACAAACCAATCAACAGACCAACAGACAAACCAACAGACATACAGACACACCAACAAACAGACAAACCAACAAACAGACAGACAAACCAATCAACAGACAGACAGACAAACCAACAGACAGACAGACAGACAAACAAACAGACAAACAGACAAACCAACAGAGAGACAGTCAAACCAACAAACAAAAAGACAAACGAACAGACAGACAGACAAACCAATAGACATACAAACCAACAGACAGACAGACAAACCAACAGACAGACAGACAAACCAACAGATAGACAGACAAACTAACAGATAGACAGACAAGCAACAGACAAACAGACATAGCTTACTGCCTACTGACCATGGACATCACGTGACAGCGAGGCGGTGCTGGACGAGTCATTGCTGCTGTCGCTGTGACCACCAACGGACTGTGTCCCCATGTTGCTGTTCATGCTTGACTGACCTCGTCAGTTCACAGGGGTGCAGGCAGGCTGGGCACGACTGCCCCCACCCTCCTACACGACGACAAGACATATATTTGTTTACATTGAAGTATTTTTTGTTACCTATTTTACCGTACACCTGTTATTTTTTACATTTATTTCTACACATTCACTTATTTACATTTAATTATTTACATTTGAATTTTTTACTTAACTATTTGGACGTATGCATGTAATTATTTACACAATTATTTTTCAATTCATTTATTTATTTAGTTATTTAAAAACGTTATTTTTATAGTTAATTTCAACTTAACTGTAATTAAATGTGTAAATAGTTCAAGCTGAATTATTTACACATTTAATTATATATTTACATATTTAATAATTTAAACATTTATTTGCATTTTTGTAATTTACATATGCATTTTTACACATTAAATTATGTTTAGGCTAAGTCATTTATTTATCTAGACATTTCTTATCTACTATTTTAATTATTTATGTATACATGTGTGGTTTATAAATTTATTTATTTATTTAAATTTCATAATTGTTCTACACATTAATTTATTTGCAAAATCATTTCTACATACAGATATATTTTCCCACCTTTACTCAACTCTATGCAAGTATGTATTGGATATTCTACGACAGGTATCCAGTGTTTCTTCCAGACATCTTATCGGCGGGGGGGGGGGGCAGGTACTCCGCCCCCCCCCCCTCCCAGAAGAGTCGACTTCCCCCCCCCCCACCCCCACCCGCCCTCCAGACTGACGTGGATCAAAGTTAGGGTTAGATGTGCTACATGTTTTGTGTTAATCATAAGGTGGACACCGTGTCTGGACTAGGGTTATGAGATCTTCAGGCAGGTTAGGGTAAGAATGAAAGTCAGTGTTGAGTTATAAATCGTCATTTTTTTCCGGTTCGTGCCTAAGACACGTGGGACAGATGAAGTAGAGTTAATCTTTTTCAGTGACATCGGTATAAGAAGGGATAGTTTGGTCAGCAATAAATACAAGCCGCTTTTATTTCCCCAAACGTAAGCTAGGTACCAATCAGAGCTGAGTGGACTCAGTGACTTTCTACTGACTTGAGTTATAAAATACTAGTACAATATAGCTGTGAGACGACGCTGACTAAAGACTCGTATCAAAAGTTCTGTATACTGTAACATCGCATTGTTGAATAACATCTAATCTAGTTAAAGGTATAGATTATTTTTAAAATGTATATGAACTAGATAAACTTTTTAGTCTGGCATTACTTGACGCCATGATTGTATTGAAAACAAAAATCTGTTGACCAAACTTTCACTAGTGTAGATGAAGTAGAGCTCGTCTGTTTCTGTGACCTCTAATAAAGATCTAATAAAGACAATGTGTCGGATATTTGCCCAACCACTTTTACTCTCCATAACAAGTCAGGTACCCATAAGGGTAAGACTGCCAACCGGAAAGTCTTGAGTTCGGATACCAGGCTAGAGGACGAAGAACGTCCATGGGTCAACCCAGATTGTAATATCCTTGGTGAACTTCATATTACACTCTTAAACCTTTAGCTACACCATTGACTTAATGTGTATTAAATGTCTTTGTCTTTTGTTTAAAAAATCTTTCAACGATTGCAATGGAGTTTAGGCTGTTAAATATCAAACAATTTTTTTTTAAACTGTGAAGTCCGTTTTAGGTTGTAATGTACATAGTTCGATTATTCATGCTTTTAAGTGTGGTTTATATATTGAAACATAGATTGCATATTTAATGTATCGTCACTTGCTCAACATAGAAAGAATATTTTAATGTTGAATGTGAAGTAATACTTATAACTTAAAATATGGAAATAATTATAGCTAAGTCATATTTCGTGTGTGGTCTTACTTAGAAATTAGAATAAGTCATAATCGGAGTGTAGCTGTATATTTATTTAAAATTTTGCCATCCTTAAGATGTAGTGAAACTAGAACCTTAAAACTATGGCCCTGTTTTAAAACGGCCCCAGTATAAAGCTTGGCTAAGGGAGACTACCTACTGTTAGCTTATCACAGCATTTAAATTATTTCCCCTTCCTGTCTACGCGAACTTAGATTTACATGTTGTCTATACACAAATATAAAATACTAAAAATATATAAGCTTTTTAATTAAATTAACCTAAAGCTTAAATTATAATGACTTACAAAGACAATACCTACCGAGAAACAGCTACCAACAGCCATACTCCTGAAACCAGCAATATCCATAAGTCATAGCTAAACACTCACACACAAATGTCTGCACGAGATAAAGCACCAGTGCACTGCAAACAGTGCGCGCCGCTGCGATCAAAAAATAGTTGGAATTATCCCATCTGCACAATCCTTGTCACTTAATGATGTCATCGCAGTTGGGGGCGGGTCTGGGGTGGTGGGGGGTGGGGGTGAATTTTTTTTTAATTTTTATTTTAGGGAACGTTCGCTGACAAAGATGCGAGGCCCTCTCCTGAAAGACAAAGAAGTCGGCAGCCAGTGAAGGGTATGGAACCAAGAAAGATTTCGCAACTTAATAGTGACAGGCAAACCACCGAAGAGGTTATTGCATTAAGGCGGTTAATTCCAGAAAGGCGAAGTCAAAGCCTTGATATGGGGCTGTTGGAAATGACAAGTTTCTAATCGAGTTGAAAAACTTGGCGTGGTTGTAAATCCTCCAGAACAAAGCGATCTTAGATTTGCAGCAATTTCTTTATATTAGTCCGAATTCATCTTTTTGTTTGTTGTCATGCAGACACTAAAATAGTAGAAAAAAAAAATTCTGAAAAGAAAAAAAAAGAATAGTCGTTATAAAAGGTCATATTTGAATGGGTTTTTTTTTTAAAATAAATGTAAAGTCTTGCAACTTTTTTTAAGTCCATTGGATTGTGATATCGAAAATATGCCATGACAAAAAATTAACAACATATTTTTTTTTTCATTTGTTTTTTGCTAGAACAGAATAATTTAAAATAAAATCTACGGACTGGTCATTACAGCTATATTGAAATAGATAAAAAAGAATAATCTGATGATCTATACGAAAATTAACTTGGACTTAAATTTTAATAATGGTTATTACATCCTTAGAAAAAAAAATTACTAACACAAAAAATAACACAGAAATAGTCACTTTAAAAATTCAAAACATTACAATGATAAATGTATGCACCATAAAGCTAGCGTGTATGTTACTGGCAGTAAAATGTTGACAGCTCGGCTGGTTAAACGATAATAAAATTTCTAATTAATTAAAGTAAAGGCAATAGAATATGGAGAGAAAAATCAATACTTGCAAAATAAAATTTAAACAAAAAAAAAAGAAAAAAAAGAAAAAAAAAGAAAAGAAAACTGTTTTGGACAGTGAGCGATGTATGGTAGCAAGAATGTTTTATCAAACTTATAATGGTGTTATAAAACATGACACATAATTATCATTCAAAACGTGTAGCATATGGCGCGCTGTAAAAATTAGAATGGATTAAACGGATTAACCTGAATTATTTATTTTATGAACAATAAGGTTTGTGCGTTTTCCTTAAACATGCATTTTTATTCCACAAAATAATACACTCACATTTTCTATTTATTCTTTTGAAAAATTACCACCATTTTTTTTTTGCATGAATTGTTTTATTCGTCTTTTAAAATTAATGCATAATAAAAAAAAAAATTAAATAGGTCAGACTGTAAGAGCACATTGAGTACGTCGGCACTTCTCTATACACCACAGTTTCGACATATAAATTATAAGACAAATTTTAACGTTCACGTATAGGCCTACATTTAAAAACTGAAAGTCAAAGTAAAAGTAGAAAAAACAAAACAAATCCGGTGCAATCCAAACCTAGAAATCGATGAACATTCAATGCAACTGCAGACGCATAGACAGACGGTTTAAACTGCCAGTAACCCAAACAAGGTAGATCCAACTCAAGACTGACCTAAAAACAACTTTAATAACTTGACCTGATTTTTTTGCGTGTTCCAGGTCGGGGAAGGAATTGGGTCAATGACCCAATTTCCCCAATTCATGTTTTTTTTTCTCCACCGTGACCTAGAATTGACTTCAAGCATTCGATCCATGGTACACATAATATAGTGCAGACATTTAAACCTTTACTTTACAAACATATACATAAGTATACATATACATACATACAAACACACACACACACATATATATATATATATATATATATATATATATATATATATATATATATATATATATATATATATATATATATATATATATATATATATATATATATATTCCTATGGTGGTTTGGATCAGTGTTAGGGGACGTCAGGAAAGCTCATGAATGCTAAGTATTAAAGTCACGGGATCGGATCCTGGGTAGATGAAACTCGTTGAGGTCAGTAGGATATGTAGGAGAGAAAATTCGTAAATTGCTGTCTTTCAAATTGTCCATGAAAGGCAAATGCTTTGGGGGCAAATCCATCAAGAAAAGCAGGGTTTAGTTAATAGGTCATATGGCGCAAAACGTGTTGAGAAGTGGTACTCAATTCAGTTGGAGATAATCATCTGCAATACTCCAATCAAGCACGAAGAAAAAGAAGTGTATTATTATATACGGGGTGAAGGACTAGTTTATGTTCATATATTTTAACTTCGTAAAGCACATCTGACGATTACAGATTGTACCCGACCCTGTTGGCCGTTGGCCTTTACAATCTTCTAAAAGAACACAACACGTACCACATGTACTCTCCAGCCATTCATTTCTCTCGGTGGTTTCCTTAAACACACGGCCTTGTGATTCTCCTCAGGCGTTACCTTGCCCCATATCACACCCGATATCTACCCACCAACATAACCCATCTCTCTCCCAATTCCCCACCCCAGTAGTTACACCCCTCACCCCCCCCCCCTCACCCCACAATAGCCCATTTCCTCCACACCCATTCCTATCACCCCTTCGCTCCTTCACGCATCTCTAAACCTCCCCCATCTCCATTCCTCCACAACCCTCCCCATC